GCCCAACAGCATCCTCACAGGAGACGTGCAGGTTGGCAAGGGTCTAAAAACTATAATGCAAAGGTTGTGTTTGGACCTTATGCTTAATCCAACGGTAGGATGACTAAGCAAGGAAGTGATAGCTGTCCTCACTATGTCAAGGATTACAGAATTGTGTGTCATCAAGTCAGGTTTTGAGAGAACATGGGATGTTGGAAAGAGTCAGGGCACCTGGGGGCAAGTTCATCCACTTTTCCAGGCTTCAGTTTCCTAATCGCTAAAATAGAGTAGGAGTTGGACAATCTCTGAGCATCTCCTGTCTCTCTCACTTTGTAATTCTGCCCTCCTTCCCATAGAATCTAGAGCAAATTCCTGTTTATGCATAAAGTTTGGGATAAAGGATGATTTTTGCTAAGTGGCTACTATAATGAAAGAACTTTGAACTGCATATTGCTCAAACCACATCTGCTGTCTCCATTACCTCATCTGTTCTATTGACATGAGAACCTAACCTACTTTGCAGGAGTTACATGAGGTGATAACATGGGGAAGCATCTCATCAGCTCCAAAGGTGTAATCTGCTGTGTTGATCATTGCTATGGCTGGCTTACAAATTTTTCCAAGAATGAAAATATAAGATGCTCTTAAACACTAATCTGTTTGCCATGACTCAGAAGATCCTTCAGGAAGTTACAAAATCTCAGGGTCATGATCATGAACATGGAGTAATTTTGTAGAAAAATTAAGGACCTGGCAGTTTGTAGTCTTTGGTTTTTAAGATTCAAACAAAATAGGAGCATACTGACTGTACTGATCCCTGAAGGGAATAGAGCTCCCATATTCTCAGTCCATCATTTTACAGATGAAGCCCCTGAGCCAGAGAGAAACTGAGCAGCCTGCCCAGAATCACGTGTTAATTAGTGGCTGATCTGGGAATGAAATCCAGGCTTCTGACTCCTAGCACACTCTCCATCTTTAGTATAAGCATTAACTCAAAGACTAAAATGAGGGTAAGATTGCCCTGATGAATGTGGCTGCCCACTTTGAACATGGAATTAAAGAGATCAAGGAAGTTTAAGAGCCTGGGTGTATCATAAGGTATGAGACCATGAACCTGACTCAACTCCCACTGGGAAAAAAGTGAGGTGGAATTAGGCATGATTTTCTTAATCATAGCTGTTCATTTCCTCTGCACAAAATTCTTCTCAGATAGTCGCTGAAAATTAATTGGCATTAAACATGCTGGTTTTAGTAAACGGCTTTCACTGGGTTTGTTATGTGCACAGGAAGTAGTATATAGGTGCAGAACAATACAGTGTCTGTCTCGGGCTCCCCGGCTAATAATCATTAGCACCTATGTTCCTTCACTGTGTTGAGTCAAGGTTTCAGGAGACAACTGTACAACAAGTTATACTTGTTCGCCTCTCACCTTGCTCAGGCAGCCTCTGTCCTGCCGGCAGCTGTGATGTCATGTGAAGAGTCCAAGCAGTTGAGTGCTGTGAGCAGTTGAGTGCAGTGAACAAGCAGCCCAGAAAGTAGTGCTTTGTTTCTGGAGGCATTAAAAGCAGAGTTTCATCCATACCTCCCTCCTCTTCCCATTTATATATCTATTTCTCTGAGGATCTAAAGATTTTTTTTTCGTTATATTTCTGTTCTCTTGGTAGCTTGAGAACGCCTCCAAGGATCTCAATCTTGAATAGGTAGGAGTCAGTTTCAGTCTTTTTTGAATCCTAAGAGGTGTTGAAAACCAGTCTCAATTCTGAATCTGGAAGGGAAATGCGTATGTACACGTAGACCAGAATGTAGACCCTGGGGTCAGACTACCTGGGTTGGAATCTGAGCTCATCTTGTTCCTAGGGCCATACAACCTTGAGCAAATCCCTTAAATGAACTGAGCTTCAGTTTCCTAATCTTAGCCCCTATCTTAAGGGTTATATGCACATTCAGTTAAATGAACTAATATTTATAAAGTGATTACAACAGTGCTAGGTGTATAAAAGTGCTTAATAAATGACTGTTTAGTAAATTAAATGGTTTCAATTAGACCAGAGTTGCCTCCAGGTCCTATTCTCTGTTCCACTCAGAAGCTTTAACACACCAGGGCCCTTAGGTTTGAGGGAATGGCTTCTTTTTCCTCCATTAGAATTGCAAGGCACATCTTATACCAAACCTTTTTATTCTGTAGAATTAAAAAGGAAATCACTTTGGGATTTGACTTCCAACACCTAAAGTGTAGCAGACCTCTTTTGAGATCAGTGAGCTGTCCACCTTCTCTCTTTATGCTAATGGAAGAGCAGTTGACTGATCCATTTATTGAGTGGCCTCGAGCAGGTAGATTTCTCCATCAGGGTCGCTTTTGTAAAACTGCTAGGATTGCAAAGTATTCTCTGTCACTTTCTGGGTCCCTTGAGCCTCAGGTGGGTTCCTGGTGAGGGGTTCCCACCTGGCTGGGGCCCTGGTTGCCTCAAGGACTGGGCTGTGGGAGCGATTAATGGGAAGTGAGAAGAGAAACAGTTGTTCTTAACCAGCAGCACCCTTTGCAGTGTGTGACTCTTCTTGTATTTAGGGAAAAGATTACTCATGAGTATTTTCTTCCATAGAATATAAAGAACCTCAAATTACTACTTGCGTCCCCCCCGCCCACTTCTCCTCACCTCCCTCCATCTCAGCGTGTCCTCCGCAGAAACTTCAGCATTTTGCTTTCATTTCCCCTCCCGTGCAGGATTCAGTTCTGTATCTGCTTTGGCACCGGCACTTCCCGCAAGCTGCCCCGTGCTTTCCCTGCTTGGCCTGAGCATCCTGTACTCTCCGGCCTTCTCTCCACCAGGGGCTTTCGTAGGCCAAGCTTGACTTGACTGGCCACCCATCTCATAATGGCCAGTGTATTCCTGCTCCTTGTGTGAAGGACAGGAAGGTAGACATCTGTGACGGGACTGTGCCGGTCCCGTTCAGAGGGGACACCATGGACTATAGGAAGTGTGAAGGTTTTCACTGGCTCAAAAGTTGAGACTTTGCTGAGCAGCTGCTACCTCACTATGATTCCCTATAGGGATTTTTGAGGTCACTGTAAAGAGCGGGGTGCCTCCTGTATCCTGGACCATTTTAACAGGCATTGCTTTCTGGCTCAGCCAATAATCAAAAACAAAACTTTGAATCCTTTAGTGGCCATGTTTTAAACTAATGGTCATGAAACAATCACATACTACTCATTATTCTATAATGCTACTTGGTTTTTTTCCATGTGAAAAAAATAACCCCCCTTAAAAAAAAGAAAAAAAGAAAGAAAGAAAAAAGAAAAACTCTTAATGATTTTGATGCCCAATAGTGTTTTATTGGTGCCTTACAAGATGGCTGGCTTTAAGTGGACTTCCATAAAGTCAGAGGAAGCCAACTACCTTTCTTCAAAAGGATATTCCAGGGAGGAGCTACTTGGAGCCAACATCGTGCCCAGACCCTGGATAGACTCCAAGGAATCTCAGCCATTTGTTCCCACTCCAGCAGCCCATTAAGAAGATTACACAGTTCATTGTCATACCTGTTTCAGGGTAAAAGGGATTCTTTCCAAGATCTAACTGAAGGACACTTTTATGACATACTCAGGGAGTCTCCTTAGGAAGTTTAAGTAACTTACACTGAGAGACTGAAGCTTCTCTTAGCCAACATTGATCCCATTGTTCTCTATTTGAACTACTGAGTCATAACATGTGATTTTAGAGAATGAAGCTCTGTTGAGCTTCTAGCTTCTTCTGACCCAGTGGTTCTTAAATTCTTGCTGTCAGGATTCCTTTTAATTCTTAAAAAATTTTTGAAGACTTCCCAAGAACTTTTACTCATGTGGATTCTATCTTATCTCTATTTGCCATATTATAAACTAAAACAGAATTTTAAAAATACTTATTAACATTGAAAAAGAGTAAGCCAAGTGTACATTCATATAAGTATATATTTTTAAAAAAATGTTTTTTAAAACAAAAGAAAATCAGTGCAAAAAGTAGCAGCATTAGACAATTTTATAAGTCTATTTAATACCTCACTTTATAGAAGATAACTAAATTCTCAAATCTTCTGCATTCAATCTGTTGCACTATCACTTGTCATGTAGTCACTAAAGCATTCCAATATCTGGTCAGGAAAAAAGAGAAAAAGAGGCAAAGAATCTCTTAATATTATTAAGAAAAAACTTTGTACTACATAGATATCCAGCAAAAGTCTTGGGAACCCTAAGAGGTTCTTTAGTTCAAACTTTGGGAACCATTGTCCTAATCACTTGAATGATATATCAAAGCTTTCCCACAGCAGCAGACCAATATAAAAATATAGGACTCCCAGCCAGGCTCCCAGAGACCCAACCTGAGCCACCCTGGGCCTCGGCTCCAGACCTCCCACCATCCTCTTCTGATCCTTCTCAGAAGAACCTCCCCAGGAAGCTCTGACATCAGCAAGTCCAATAAAAAGGCTAAAGATCTTTCATGCTTACCTTGCCCTCTTATTCCCAGAGGCTAGCCTGATGGTTTCCCAGGGGCTGAGTAAGTCTGTCTTCCTGGAAGAGTTTTCAGGGAACACTTCATTATTTGGCAGCTCTGGAAGGTCAAGGCCAACTTTGAAACATTCTCACTTCAAAAGGGCACTGGGCTACGGTCAGATCAGCTCTGATTCTAAGATCCCCTCCAAAGCCTAGCTGAAGTTTGTCTTAACTCTGTGCCCCTGGGCTACTTTAGGCTGGAATTAATACAGACCCCGGGGCATGGTTTTAAGACTTACCATCCCTCACTTGAAAATGGAGGGCCAAGATTTCCTCTTAAAAAAAAAAAAAAAAAAGAAAAGAAAAAGAAAAAGATAGTCTGACAGCACTTAGGAAGCCTGAGTTTTAACCTGGGACTTGGAATCAAGCAACGGGGCTCTTAAGACATGGAGACTCAATTTTTTTTTAACTCTTCAGAGATCTTTATTCCTTATACCAGCGGTCCAACTGATAAGACCTTTTCTTCTCTTTTCTCTGCCCTGCTCTCTCTCTCCAACAGGCTTGCAGCCAATCTACTGGAGCAGGGATGACGTAGCCCAGTGGCTCAAGTGGGCTGAAAATGAGTTTTCTTTAAGGCCAATTGACAGCAACACATTCGAAATGAATGGCAAAGCGCTCCTGCTGCTGACCAAAGAGGACTTCCGCTATCGATCTCCTCATTCAGGTGAGAGTCTGGACTCTTCATATGGGCTCCATGTGGAAAATCTGTAAGTCAGTGGTTGGCCTTTGCCACCACTCGTCCAACCTACAGAACCTCCACAGTCGGTCATCACAGGCAGATGACGGTAACACTTTTGTAAAAGGAAGATTCCACTGACCTAAGCCAGTTTTAGGGGAGAAGAAGTTTCCAGATCAAGGGGAGACTTGAGGTTTGGAGAGGTAACCCACTTATGGCCTACAGACATTGGAACTTAAGGGATCTAGTTGTGCCACCAGGCAAAGAAGAAAATGCCATTCCTGCCCTTGCATCTGTCTACCTGGCTCCTGATTCTGAAGACTTTCAGAGATGGCTGAGAGAGAGTATAGGTTGTGAACTGCTCGTTTAACAACAAGAAAGGAAGGGACGTGGACATTGCTGAGGCCGAGATGACAGGAAGGAAATAGGAATGAGGGAACTGGAAGTAAGGGCTGGGAAGTATGGAGCTACTCGTAGCCAGGGCAAGTTTAGCAATAACTCAAAGGGCCTCGAGTGATTTACCGTGGAGTCTGGACGTTTTTTGAAGTAAGACTTGTAAAAATCCTGAAAGATAAAAGTAGAATTTCCTAGAGACTATCTAACTAGGAAGATTTGTCATAATATGGGCTCCTAAATGACATTAGAAGGTTTAATTGAATAACAAGCATTTGCACCTGCAAAATATGTTACGAATGTAAGACTTCAGATTTGCTTCTCAACTTTTATTTTTCCCACTTTATGGATATGGAGAAGATAGCTGTCTTGAAACTGCATATAACAAAGGGGAACTTCCATCTCGGGTTTATTCTCTTGAGGGGTCAGTTAGGAAGCACAGAAGGTCCTCATCCTTTTGAGTCTCCTTACACACCGACTTCCCTGTGACTTGCCTGGGAGAGTCCCTTTTATTCTTTGGCAAAGGGCAAAGATCCTGCATGAGGCTATGGCATAGCCCCTAAGTAAATTCAATCCTATTTAACCCTGGAGGCCTGCCAGAAATTAATAAACTAACTGTCGTCAGGAAACATCTCCCATTTCGGTGGGGTGAGATAAAGCTTTAAAGTAGAATACCATCTCCTCCTTTTCCCAATTGCTGCAGACCGTTTGTATGAAGAAATGCTAAAGAGGAAGTTTCCCCAAGTATAGATGTTATTGAAACTTGAAAGTTTATGTTTCTAAAACAGGTGATTTTTAAAGTTTTATCAGGGACTCAAGCATACTAGGAACATTTTGTCTCAAATCATTGATTTTTGGAGGGTGATCTCAGAACAAGAAAACTATAAAACAGCCATATATGTAACTAAAACTATCCTAAGTAGTTCCTTTGAGTTTGTTGCAAAATACTTCCCTTTTCTGTTCCAGTGGAAACTCAGTAGTGTCATGCTCAAAGAGGCAAAGTTATATATTTGAAGGCAAAAACCCCTAACTCTTTAGTATTCCAGTGAAGCCGCTTGCGTAAAACAAATGCAAAAAAAAAAGAAAAATTCAGTGGTGTGTCTGACTGGATTTGACCCTGGGCAAGCCTTCCTCCCAAGACCCTATAAGTTTCCCCTGCATCGTAGCTCACATGCTCATCTTTATTAGGGGTCTGTTTTTCTCCCCAGTGACTTCTCAGTTTTCTTCATGTAACTTGGTTCTCTCTGCTCAAAGCTATGAATAAAGATATGTGAAACCAGTCAGTGGCTCCTTGCCACTCTGTCAAGTCTTTGCTGGGGTGGGCCATGTGGAAGATGGCCCTGCTCCCAAGGAAGTTAGTGTCCAGTTAGAGAGGCAGAATTGCATTGACCCTAAAGACCAAAGACAGCTGGAGAAGGGAGAGAGCAGATAGGGATGGGTCACATGAGAGAAGAAATGGAGTTGGTCTGGAACATGAAGGGTGGGTGGAATTGAGTAAGCAGAGGTAACTGGAGGGGATTCGTCTCATAGATTTGAGTGATAGTTAAAAAAGAGGAAGAAGAAGTCCACATAATGTATAGAAGAGGTAGAAGACAAGAAGGCCATCTAAGGCTAGCGCCCTAAACCAGACACAAGGTACTAGAGACCACAGATAGGTGGTGGCAGTAGAAATTCACTCCGTGAGTGCTTACTGAGCAACTCTGCAACAGTGGTATGGAGGTCCAGCTAGATTATTAAATGAAGCTCAAGGGTATGGCAATGGAGATGAACTTTGAAAACTTGGAAAAGTTAACAAGAGGGAAATAAGGAAGGATGTTGAGGAGGAGGTGGTATGGGCAAGTTTGCAGGAAGAAGAGTTCAGAGATAAGGTGGTACATGCTACATCCTCCATTTGAAACTGTGCACTATCACTCACCATCCCTCCTCTCACTTGTTTGATTCCCTTCTCACGTTTCAAGTTGTGTGACTTTTCCTGAAAAGTTTAACTTGACTCACAACCCTATGACCCTAGAATCTTATTCCCTCACAATCTGGGTTAGGTGCCATTCCTCTTTTATCCCAGAGTATTCTCTGCTTCATGGCCCCTCACACCCATGCACACACAGAGAATATACATGACTGGTTTCTACCCCATATCCATCTCCTAGAATAGAAAAGTTTAGTGTGGGCAGGGGTTTTGTTCTGCATTACCTAGCACAGATTATGGCATCCAGTTGGCTGGCACTCTACTGGAATGATGATCCAGCTTGAGTGCGCCTTAAAAGCCCAGGTGAAGAAGATTGGATCTCATTCTGCAGATGATGGGTGACCTCTGGAAAGTTTTGGCCAAGAGAATGACCTGATTGGAGGTCTTCCTTTAGGACAGATACTTACCATCAGTGCAGAGGGTGGATTTACTGGGTCATGGTCACTACAAGCAGGAAAGCTAGAGAGAGTGCTGTTGCTATAAATTTAATGCAAGACAGTGAGGTCCAGACTGGGATTGGTGAGACGCAGCAACCAGTAGTGCTTCAGACACAACGTGGTCAGCTATGGTGGGGAGCTGATTTGGAAGTTGTGGAAAGAGTTCATTTGGGAGCAGGCAGAAAAGAGTAAAGAAGACATGTCCTGTGAAAGAAGAACAAAGCCAGAGCTGGGGATAATAGATAGGAGTATTGTCCCCAGTAGGTGGATTGTTGTGAGCTGGGATACAGGTGAATTTATTTATATTGTGGGTAATTTAATTATAGTATCAGCCAGAAAACCATGGGCAGAATTGCAAAGTGACACCTGCTAGTAAGGGCTGCAAGAAAGCTTATCAGATTACAGAGGAGTATCATCCCAGGCTCTGAAGGACAGAACAAAGACACACGTAAAAGAGCCATCTTTGAAGTGACCAGCAACCCCGGCCAGCCAGATGAGGTATGATGTGGGCACAAGTGTTCTCCTCAGGCAGAGACATGGTTTATACAGAAAATCTTTTATTTCTTTCTCAGATGGAACATTTGCCATTGTTTCTTCTGATGTGGGCTTTCTGCGTTAGCAGTTTGGTGGCTTCTCCACCTGGCTTGTCACAAATCATATCACTTACTTTAGTTTCTTCATCTGTAAAATGAGGTTTTCACCATGTATGTCCTAAGCTCCCTTCAACTACTAACAGTTTGGCCCAACTTCAACACTGAAACAGTGTGAAGCTTTAGTGAACAGTAGGACCACCCCACCCTACAGGCAGTCTCCTTCCACCCAACCTTGTTGTAAGATGTAGACTTTACACAGTTTTTTTTTTCTCCCATCTTTGAATGTTTTTTGCTACTTAAGCAGAGTTGGGAGTTTCTTCTCACTATTAGAATAAAACCAAAGTACCTGGTGGCCCCATCACATAAAAAGAGGACCATATCTTCCACCCAGCCATGTTTTCCACACCTGGTCTTTCCCAAAGCTGGGCTCTCCTAATTCATCTACACTGTAGAGAAGAGAGCTGACTCCATGCATTATAATTGCCTGAAATATGAATTTACCTTAAGCTCAAATACAAAAGCTTCTCCAAATGCTGTGTGTTGTATTCTTTGGTCAACTTAACAAATCATACTTATTCATGTTAGGAGGAGAGTCGTCCTTTCCCACCCCTACAATAAAGCAAGGAGCACTTGGGCTGTGCTTTAAATAGCTAGTGGTCTCTAAACAGAGAGTATCACAGTTGAAGACAAATGGGGTCCTTTTTTTTTTGGAATGGTCTCCCGACCAGAAGATATAACAAGATAACAAGCTTATGACACTTGTAAAGTTTAAGAATAAGTGTGAAAGGATCCTAATTTTATAAAAGCTTCGCCCAAACAGAATAATTTTTCCCTGGGTTGCTAGGTAGTTACCACAATTAAATGGTTATGGGGCGATTTGAACTCAGAGAGATATTTGGCTATAGGACTGCTTTTGGACTCTGAGAAAATACACTAGTAAGAGGGAACAGACAAGATATCATTCATATTTACTCTTATTTGACAGTTATCCATTGCAGGGCATTCAAGTAGAATGGATTTATACACCCTTTATTTTATGAGAACAAAAACCCTAAGTTAGTATCAATTTAATTCATGTTGTACCCTCATTCAGTGCTAAAACAAAAGTGGGGGGAGAACCATATTTTCAAAATTCCTTCAATTCAATTTAAAAATTTATTGGAGATTTCAAAACACATTGGGAATTTTAGTGTACTAAAATTCACAGTCTTTTAGTATTCCAGAGGGTGATTCTGCAAATTATTTCTACCCTTGTGGACCCTTGTCAATCCACCAGAACCTTTGTCTTTGGAAATATGTTTTGCTTGTATTCATAAATATAGTGAAAATCCCATTTCAAAGTTAATCTGAAAATACTAGTCATGTACAGATAGTTCCTTGGACCAATTTGCCTAAATTTCTGTTAAGCAGTGACAAGTAGTTTGCTGAATTAAATGGCTGGGTCTTTGAGCTGCTTTAGAATTAAGTCAGAGAATCCATGGATCCAGCTCCCAGAAGGGGAATTATCGCCCAGAAATGTGGGAGCTACCCAAGTGCTCCTTGCTCCTTGAGTCAGCTCTTCCTTCTCATACTGTGTCTTTGAACAAACAGCAAAAAAAA